ACTGTACTTACTGCCTAGATTCATTGTCTTATGTTCACTGTACTTATTGTCCACATTCACTGTCTTATGTTCACTGTACTTATTGTCCAGATTCATTGTCTTATGTTCAATGTACTTATTGTCCACATTAACTGTCTTATGTTCATTGTGCTTATTATTCAGACTCATTGTCTTATGTTCGCTGTACTTATTGTCCAGATTCATTGTCTTATGTTCACTGTACTTATTGTCCACATTCACTATCTTATATTCATTGTGCTTATTATTCAGATTCATTGTTTTATGTTGGCTGTACTTATTGTCCAGATTCATTATCTTATGTTCAGTGTACTTATTGCCCAGATTCATTGTTTTATGTTCGCTGTAGTTATTGCCCAGATTCATTGTCTTATGTTCGCTGTACTTATTGTCCAGATTCATTTGCTAGAAATGCAATTGTTTCGTAACATGTTTAGTTTATCTGCTGGCCTGGTTCATTTATTAAAACGTTGATTATTCCCAACACATTTGATAGTTACCGTCTTTAAATAAATCTGTAGACGCGTTATCTGATTTTATATTTACAATATTAAACGACTTCCCAAATTAAATGTTACTGTGATTTCTGTTTATCCTGTTTCATTGAAACGACTGTAGTCTGGGCCAAGACACGGTATTCTGTACTTTCTCGTAAAAGACAGACGAGTGTTTTTTGTTCTTGGCTGCAACTCACACGGAAAGTCGTGTTTCAAAAACCTCGGATTAGAAACGTCTTACCTTCTTACGGCCACAGCACAGCATCCTTGAAATAGCCAGGTACATTAGTTTTGCTTTGAATCGACGTGGCAGTACAGGGGACTTCATGTGTCCTGTAAGGGGGTTTCAGTTCACCACAGACGACCCATCTATGATATGCCAAGAAAATCAAATTCTTACCAGTTATCATATTAATCGTCAGAAAGTTGTTGATTGTATTATGCTAAATCGTGATTACTAGTATACTTTATTAAGTATGTATAACTCACTAGATTCAGCCAAGTTCCATCATTCGAGAAAACAACGGTCACCGACGAACATAACATTTTAAATGTTTGTCATTTTCTTCCGCATAAGATATTACATACTCTAAAGTGTGTTTCTTTGTTAAAGTAACATAAGAGGCTATCCGTGTTCTACCAAACGCAGGGATTGAGCCCCGAATGTTGGCGTTATACACTATCCAGCTTATCGCTGAGCCACCTCGGAGAGGGGAGGCATCGTTAAGTTCATGGTTCATGGTTTAATTCTTACTAATCAACAGTTTTATTCACTAATCACTCAAATCTTCCAGTACAAAGTTTTTAAACAATAATAAATTCCATAAACATTTGAACATTTCAAAAAATCGCACAGTGAAGTAAACAGGTGTAAATTCTGTTTAGAGATAATACAGTGCAATAAACAGGTGTGAACTGTATTTTAAGAAACAGTGTAATAAACACATGAATTCTGTTTAGAGACAATACAGTGAAATAAACGGGTGTGAACTGTATTTTAAGAAACAATGTAATAAACACATGAATTCTGTTTAGAGACAATACAGTGAAATAAACGGGTGTGAACTGTATTTTAAGAAACAATGTAATAAACACATGAATTCTGTTTAGAGACAATACAGTGAAATAAACAGGTGTGAACTGTATTTTAAGAAACAGTGTAATAAACACATGAATTCTGTTTAGAGACAATACAGTGAAATAAACGGGTGTGAACTGTATTTTAAGAAACAGTGTAATAAACACGTGAATTCTGTTTAGAGACAATACATTATAATAAACGTATAAGAATAGTACAATAAGGTACCTGACTCCTGTTTATATAACAACTAATTAACAGTCAAGTTAACCAATTCATTACAAAATGCTCGAGATTACACAAACTTAGTTCGTATCTTTTATTAAAGTTAAAATAGGAAGTAGCCAATGACATTTTTTTATTCACTTCACCTATCCAGTGTATAGGTTTTTCTCCTAGTGACTACAAAACACGTTCACACCAACAATATTTTTGATACTTTAATCCATATTATGTATTACATAAAAGTCACCTTGTCTTTTTTACTATATATTGATAGAGCCTACAGCTAAGCCTGATTAATACAAGAACAAATTGTATTATAAATATTAAAAGGTTAAAATTCAAGGAACTTATGTATATATATATTTAAGATATTAAAATCCACAAACGAACAACGTTTTATAATACACAATTAAAACTTTATTTAATCTGATCAACAAAGCCACTCTAAATGTTTCAACGTGGTTTCGCGTCATCTTTAGGAGTGTGGAAATCCAATCCATTTTCTTGGCAGTTATTTTGATTTTTAATCGTACAGATCCCTGTAAGACAAATAGGTGGCGCTCAGAAACTGATGTTTCTCTTCTCAAGTTTGACTTGAGGCCAAAGTTTTAAATGTCATTATTTAGATCGAAGTATCTGATATTCTCAAACGAGCTATGGACAATAGTCCCCTGGTCTAAAGAATCGCTGAAATGGATCAAAATACTTAATTAACATTTGGTTTTTGAAGCCAATTGACCCTAAATAATTTAGATGGGTAAAAGACCCTTTTCTGGGAAGCTGGGAGATCATAGCCTGCTTTTATATGGAGAATTATCCAAACGCACCATCTCCGAAAGGACCAAGGCTGTGACCGAGTGTTAAAAAACAGTTTTTTTTACGACATTTCAACAGACGGTTACGCCATCTCAGTGGCCAGGAGATGTAGAAGTACACAGTGGAAATAAGCAACGAGAGATGAGTAAATGACACCACGTACTGAGATGGTGAAGACGAGTTTAATACACGCTATTAGGAAACGTAATCAGAGATAGATGTGTGATGGAAGATCAGGCATCGGAGTTGTATTTTAGTCGGGATGATCAGGTGGCAGAGACATGAGATAAAGGTTCAGGTTTGGTTGGTTTTTTTAATATCGCGCAAAGCTACACGAGGGCTATCTGCGCTAGCCGTCCCTAATTTAGCAATATAAGACTAGAGGGAAAGCAGCTAGTCATCACCACTCACCGCCAACTCTTGGGCTACTCTTTTACCAACGAATAGTGGGACTGACCGGCTAACCGGCTGAAAGGGCGAGCATGTTTGGTGTGACGGGGATTCGAACCCACGACCCTCAGATTGCGAGTCGAGCGCCCTAACTACCTGGCCATGCCGGGCCAGAGGTTCAGGAGATGATCCTTCGGAGGTTAGAGTTTGCGAGGGGTATTCACCGAACAGGATAGGATTTCGTCGAAGATGGGGTTGTGAGGATCGAAGTAGCGGTGAAAATACTTCACTCGTAGTTCGCGTGAATGTGCGATTATGGGGGGGGGGGGTGAGAGTCCTGTGTAGGACTGGAACGACGTAATTGAAAGGCAATTCGTAAAGCGTAGCGTTCGAAAACATCTAGCCGATGATAGAGTGAAGATGGAGCAGAGATCCAGGCAATATGACCATAGGTGAGGCAGGGTCGGACAAAAGCTTGGTAGGAATATAAAAGGAGTTGGGGATTCAAACCCCAGGATGAACCAGGGAGACGGCAAAGTAAATGGAATTAACCTTCGTGTGGAGGATGGCCAGGTGTGCTTTCCAAGTGAGATGGCGATCACAGGTAACTCCAAGATATTTAACTGTATTCGATAGGGTAATAGGAATGTTGTCAAGTCGGACATCGAAGAGAAGTGGATTACGGCATGGACGAAACTTGTGGCGAGTCGGACCAAAGAGAATAACTTTGGTTTTGTGAGGGTGAAAGGTAAGCCTCCAGTGTGTGCACCAGGAAAGAAAAGAGTTGACGGGTTTCTGCAGGACTTTGTTGAGGGTGACCATTGTAGAACAAAGGACAAGGAGAGCGTGTCATCGGCGTATTGAAAGAGCTAAACTGGAGGCCGGGGAACTGTCATGTCAGCAACATACAGGATGTACAGTAGGGTATAAATTATGTACCAGCTACCAGTGTCGGCTAACAATACGAAGAATTAAATTGTGGGGGAATGCTACAAGTTCTTCAGATACTTATGGAATGATAGGTTTCTTTTTTGTGAGTGTAAAACACTTAAATGCACCAGTTCGATTTTCGATACCTCACTACTATAAAGGCTTGGTTTGGTCTGTTATTTCATTGGTGGTAGTGTCCAGGGTCACTGATGAGGAGTGGAATTCTCCGAAACTAGTCTGGCTCACAGACACACACACCCCAATGAAAGAATAGACCATTCCAAGCTTTTACTTGTTGTTAAACAAATGTTTAAACATCTCCACTTAAAGGTTTAAATAAAGATTTTAACTCTGTGTTATAAAACGTTGTTCGTTTGTGCATTTTAAATATAAACACAAGTTCCTTGCATTTGAACCTTTTAATATTATGAATCTACCATCAAGAATTCTATCAGGGACATTTGAAAAACAGATGCGGAAGTTGGAGAATCAACTAAAGTTCCAACATCCAAGTGAAATGTAAAAAAAAATGGTATTATACCGAAATTCATCAAGTAAAATGAAAGGAAGCCATATTGTACCGCTGTTTATAGAACCATATTGTACCGCTATTTATAGAACAATGAGAACGGATATTGAAAATTGTAATTCAACATCACAGAAGTGTAAGAGGGAAGTCAGAAGACAAAGTTTGCCAATCGGCGACGAAAAAGCTTAAAGTTAAACTTAAACTGTTAAAGAACAGTGGAACAAGCGGGAGAAACAAAGTTACTTGGACAAGGCAAGTTGGAAAAATGTATGTTAAGACTGGAATAGAACTTGAAAGTATATTAAACTCTATTGAACAGAAACAATAAGAAGCTTCACGACTTGGGACCGCTACCTGGAGCTAACGTTAACTTAATCAGAAAGAGAAAAATAATTAATAAATCTAATATTTATCATGATGTACTTAACAATAACAAGGAATGGGATTTACTTGTAAATCCAAACATTTTCGGAAAGATTTCATTACAGAAGTGGAAACGGGTTTGAATAAAATTTAAAATATTGATAAAGTGGATATTATTAGAGATAAATATAAAAATTAAAAAAGTAACTTTAAAGTCAATTTGGAGAAAAATAAAGATGTGCAAATCTTGAAGTCGTTAAACAATTTGCATATTATAATTTGTGAAGCTGATAAAGGTGGTCAAATAGTTGTCCAAAAATAAACAATAATAAACTACTAAATGATCCTATATATGAAAAGGTTAAAACCAACAGTCCTAACACACTTTATGAATTGGTTAAGGAAAAAATTAAGACCGTATAAGCCTAACTCCTCCCCCCCCCCCACCTGGCACAGCGGTATGTCTGCGGACTTACAACGCTAGAATCCGGGTTTCGATACCCGTGGTGGGCAGAGCACAGATAGCCCTTGTGTAGCTTTGTGCATAATTAAAAAACAAACAACCTAACTCCTCCAGAGAAAAAAAAAAGATTGGTTCCAAGTAGTTTTGGAATTCCAATATTTTATGTCTTACCAAAAGTTCACAAAATGGTAGATTCCTTGAGACCCATGGTATTTAACATAGGTTCATCCTTCTACAACTTGGCTAAATCTTTAGAATGCAAGTGATAAAGATTCCATATACTTTGTTGAACGAATACGTAAGGCGAATATAAACAGTAACAATACGCTTGTATCTTTGGATATTGTATTACTATTCACTATTGATACAGCTATCGGTTGTTTCGAAGACAAATTACATGTAAATAACGTACCAGTCGTTGACATTCTAGACAGAATAAACTCGTTTTCACTTTAATAATAAAATTTATAAGTATAAACAGACTGAAGGCCTATTATCTCCTTTGTTGTGTGATCTTTTTATGGATAGGTTTGAAAGTGATGTTTTACAGAATGCCAAACTTAAACCGGAAATAT